TTTTTTTGATGTAGAACTCTTGCATTAGTAGAGATCAAAATGTATCTTGCGTTCGTAACTCCCACTAAAAGGATTCGTTAGTCGAAGTGACCTTTCCAAAGTCTTATAGCACTCTGGAGAACATGAGTCCAGATCTGATTTCAATATTTGTCAATCGCTTCTGTATGCCGAGTTATGAATGTCTTTTGGTGGGAAAATTGAACGCATAATTTAAGTACAATCAAATGTTACGGTCGCAGCACTCAACTAGAGCAGATTGAGTAGAGTGTTTTGAGCAGAAGGTTTTTCTTGAAATGTTACGGTCTTTTGAAGTTGAGTGAGTTGAATGCGTAACTAACGTTGGACCAGTTAAACAATTCTGAGGAACTTTGTTCTGATTATGCTAACAATTTTCCAACCCGAAAAACGCTCATAAATCGACGTCCAGAGGAGCTTGGCAGATAACGAAGATAGATTTGGAAATAACTTTCGATGGTCTTTGAAGTCGTATTAGATGTTGAAAGGCCACTTCGACCGAACGGACTTCCCTTGTAAGTTATTCTTACGGTTAAACATGCAACCTGCGCGCAACCTTGAACTCTCGTCCTGACCTGGCGATGTTGTGTTGATGAGTTTCCCTTTCTACCGAAAACTGGACACTGCAGCATACAAGTTTTGAATGCAGCCTCAAAAATGATTTACAAATGCTTTTTGACTTTGAGCAAATTGGTAGGTAATTTGCAATAAGAAAAATATTATTTCGGCGATTTAATTGTGTAGCAGAGCATATTTTTGCCAGTCAGATTCACATCCTTAAGACTTTCTTCGTAAACCTATGAGGATTGGAAACCGCATTCTTTCCAAGAAACAGCAGAAGAAGTTGGCTTCAGGTTCTATGATTCAACGGGTGGCAATATGGATAGCCGTGGTTGCCTTTATTGCTTACACGATAGAATTATGCTTCTACCGAGCAGATGTAGAATTACATATAGATGGTGAAAATGATGAAGCATTTGATGCTGTACGAGAAGCATTCAGGTGAGCTGGAACCATACTTTGCTCAACATTACGGTAGAGATGGATAACTACCAGCGAATATACGGGTGTCCCAGAAATTGGAGAACGTTTGCTCGGCATGTACCGAACACCATTCCCGACAATCATTAAGAATGCTATCATGTCATCCAAACTGTTTTGGTTACCTGTACAATGTTTTTGCTGGAATGAGCGGATCCCACGAAAAGGTTTTACCGATTTTGCAATTTTTTTGGGATGGAAGCACTTAGTTTGTATGCCTTCTTGTTAAAAGTTTCTAATTTGTTTCAACTGTAATGGAGAAAGACTGTTTATTTGCTTACTACCAAAGGTCGAAGCCAGCCCTACAGTATCATTGTACGATTAGCAAATAGTCGGTACAAAAGATTGAACGAACTCGCATTCTTTGGATGCTTTATGTGCTGAAAAAGAGGGAAAATTTGCTCAAGTATATTTTAAGAAGTATGTCAAAGTGATTCCCATGCAGCTGATTTAGTGCCAACTTTCTGGAAGGATGGGAACGTGGTGGTGCTTCCTTTGTGGTATATCACAACGGTAAAAAAGTCGTTGACATATGGGGTGGATATGCAGATGCAGAAAGTGAAAGACTATGGAAAAGGGATACCCTCAATGTTGCATTTTCATCAACGAAGGTATGTGATTTTGTTTACAAGTGGAGTAATTTGGATGGGCACAATATTGTAGGCATTTGCTGCTCTTTGTGTTGCTAAGCTTGTAGATCGTGGATATCTCAAGTATGATGATCTCGTGGTAAAATATTGGCCAGAGTTTGGAAAACATGGAAAAGAAAACGTCACTGTTCGTTGGTTACTGAGCCACAGAGTGAGTATCTTATAATTGTGCACTTTTCATTGATATGAAAAGTGCGGTAGGATTAGTTTTGAGATTTTCGGCTGGTTTGGCCTACACCGATAAGAAGATTCACTTCCCCATAGCAAACGATTGGAAAGCCATTGGTGAAGTTTTCGAAGAGCAGGTAAATCTTACAATTAGTTGTCTGGCTGTTCGAGTTAATTGTTCTCAGGTCCCGAACTGGCCTCCTGGAACTCAAATAGGCTATCATGCTATCACTTATGGCTGGCTAGTCGATCAAATTATCAGGAGAGTTGATCCGAAGCACCGTTCTGTTGGTGTTTTCTTCAAGGAAGAGTTTGCAGACAAGTATAGTAAGTTTTTAGTCCATAGACTTTTGTAGTTCTCGATCTCTTTGAGCCCATATTTTGCAGATCTCGACTTCTACATTGGACTTCCAAAGTGTGAATCGCATCGAGTTTCTCGTCTGACTCTGCCATCAGCTTACAACTTTATGGAGGAATATCTTTATAGGCCATCTGACTTCGACGTCACCCGGTTTGGGAGTTACCTTAAAACATATTCCATTACCTATCGACGAGAGTTAGGGAGCACTTTTTAGGTTTGTATGGCATATGGCAACTGACGGGCTGCTTTCGAAAGTTGGCCACAACGTTCCTTGGATTGCTTTCATGAAGGTGACTGATTTTTTTTTTCAAATTACGGAACGACTGATGAGAGCAGAATCCTTTATAAATTACCTTCCAACTCTTCTTCTATAGCTCTATGCAATTTCAGAGATTGACGCTAAATAATCCCGACTTGTACAGTATTGAGCAAGCTGCGGTTCTCGGAATAGGGACTTCAGGAGCTATGGCTGAGCTGTTCGAGCGATTCCGGTAAATATGTAATCTCGCATACTTGAGTTTTCGCTGTATCTCTTCGAAATTTCATTTGCGTATGAATATATAG